GCAATGACCTCAGCTAATTCCCTCAGCACTTTGGGGTGGAGATCATCCAGACCAGCTGATTTAAATACATCCAGTCCCTCCAGATATTCTCTGACTCACTGACCCTTGGCCTAGGTGCGCCTCCCCTGGGGCCTGAGGGGGGCCCAGTGGGGGGCTAATCTGGTCCCTGCTCAGGAAAATAGAGACAAAGAAGTTGTTAAATACGTTAGCTTTGTTGTCTGGTGTGATGACCAGATTTCCCAGCATGTCTTGCAGGGGCCCCACGTTACCTGGTACCTTCTTTTTGCCCCCTGTGTATTTAAAAAAGGACTTCTTGTTGTCCTTGATCTCGGTAGCTAGTCCTAGTTCCATCTCCACCTTGGCCTTCCTGACCGCCCCCCTGCATCCCCAAGGAACCGCAGTATAGTCCTCCCTGGTGATGGCCCCTCCCTTCCGTTAGCTAGGAGACAATCCTGGATGCTTTTGGTGAGCCATGGGGGCTTTTGTGCCCTCCTGCTTCCTTTGATCCATGTTGGGATTACTTCCCTTTGGGCTTGGAGGATCGTCTCCTTAAAGAGTGACCACTCTCCTTGGACACCTGGGATGGAGTCCAGTGTTTGAATGTTACAATAATCTCCCTGCTCCAGTGACATTACCTTAGGAAATACGACTAAACTAAATGTTACAGACTGCTTTGACTTGAGAAGAAGTATTACTGCTCTTTTTCTTCCCCTAAACCTCTCCAGTATAGGAAGATAAAATGGGGATGACTTTACAGCAGGGATATTGGACCTGGTGCTGTCAGTAGCTGCACTGCCAAACTTTGAAAATAAAATAAATGGTGAGTAGTTTTCAGCTGCTGTAGAAATAAAGACTTTGTTTCTCAAGTAATAAGCTAGGAATATTTCTAGCCATTAACTACCTATAAAAAATAAGCCAGCCTATTTCACACAGGAAATTATTCAGAAAAAGGCCTCAAATAATTTACACATTAAAAAAAATCTCTTTTAAAAAGTATTAAGCCAATAGGAGCAGCTTAGCTCAAATGTACCCATCCCAGATAATCCAGCTTCCACCAATATGTTACTGATCTGGCACCACTGAAGGAAAAAGGTATTTCAGGGATATTTGTGCAGCTGGGAAAGATTTTAAAATTTAAATTCTTAATGGGAAACTTACGAACACACTAGAGCTGAGCGAATATTTCATAATGAATAATTTATATGACAATAACAATAATAATACTATTAGGCTGCTGTAATTCATGCTGTGGCTAACAAAGATCAGTTCATATTATGAGGAAGGTGGAACCTTCTTTTTGACAGCTCCTTGTTACTCCACTGCTGCCCTAAAAGAGAGTTGGTTCATAAAAAAAAAATCTGGCCCAACACATAGAAACCTAATTGTTTTGGTAAAATTTCATGGCAGCCAGGGTTATTCACTACAAAATAGCCAAATAGAAGTAATTTTCTCCTTATGAAGTTATAAAATGTTCACTGTGCAGTGTCACTTTAGAAAGTTTCTTCCAAAAGATGGTTTGCCAGCTCACAGTTCGTTCAAAAAAAAATTTGTATTGTACATTTGTCAGGGATGCTCTAAGGGGTACGGAAGCTGACAGATTACAAGCAAGAGTTGACAGCTTCACTCCAGTTACAGATGATTAAAGACTGCAGAGGCCTGAGGGCGCCAATCTTTAAAAGAGGGCCACTAAAAATTCACCAAAGCACTTGCAGCCTGCGTATTTTACATAAGCTGGAACTGAGAACTAAGTACTGAACTAGGTAATCAGCCACGTATGCACTCCTGGAAGTGTTTAATATAAGAAACAAATGATGCTTGCAAAACACAGCTGAAAATCACCAAGGAAAATCTTACATACATGTTTGAATGGAAATGACAAGGCAATAGGTACAGTGATACAGTAGTAACAAATCACTTCAGGCCCTACTTTGTATCATGATAATGTGGCCCAGTGTTGTTTTGTCATTTCTTCACAGTTCACAATTCAATTGATCCTATGAGGGATAAAGTAATATGTTTCTGAATGAGTGTAGCACAGCAGAAAAACTAACTGAAGTAACACACATAGGATTTTTCTGCACTGTATAACTTGTAAACATAAGCAGGCTATAAAATAAAGATAGTATACATGGTAACAGTTGTCATCAGCATGCAAACCCCTAAATACAAAGTGAGTCACTGACAAAATACTGAACAGGTCAAAACTGGACAAACCCTGCAAAGAGAATATACCCAGAGCCAAGTCAGTATACAGGAGAGTAGCATGGACAGTATTCAGGGTACAGGAGAGTAGCATCATCAGGAACAGGCTCTTGAAACTTGGGAAAATATCAGCAGTCGCTGACCTCTTCAATTTAAAAACAACAATATGGTACCCTGCTGGCTAAGCCTTCTCCTGCAGATGTGTGCCTGGAGGTGTACTAAGGTGAATTTTCCAATTACCTACAATAGGGCTATTTTTGTAAATAAGGATACTTTTGTGTATACTTGTCTGCAGAACCCTGCTTGAGTAAGGGCTCCAGAACAGAGCATTATGATGACCTTAAAGCAGCATGTAGTCAGTGCTATATCATTACTAGTTAGAAGAAATAATCCTGGCCGAGACTTTCAGGTGTGCCTGGTGACATAAGATACTTCAATTTTTAAGACTCCAACTTGGGAGAGCCTGCTTAGGAGAGTGGGTGAGCAACACTTCTGAAATTGCACTCAAGACAGGAACTCAAAATCACTTAGCAATCATAAGATTCTTGATCCCTTGCATTTTTAAGCAAATATCTGAACATTTGCTTTGGACTGTCGCTCCAGAAACTCCTTGTCCAGTGGCTCACAACTGGGGTGCCACAAGAACCAGTTTCACCCCATTGCAGCAGCGATGGTGACTGAAGTGACTATGCTGTGGTACCCTCTTAGCCTGTCTGCTACCCACCCTTTTGCCTGCTCCCTGCCCTTCCCAACCCTTTAGCACTCACCACATGCTTCATGTGCAACTTAGTGCCTCATCCCTGCTGGCTAGGTGGCTCTGGATTCTGTCCATTAGGGACCAAGAGTCAAAGTTTAGGAGATTGCCCTAGGGTAAGTAAGGGAGGAACTTAATCCAGTGGTTCCCAGTCCCCTGTGACGTGGAGTCCCCATGTGTGGGAAGTCCACTGCTGTGCTTAGTGAACATGCTCTGGGCTAGACAGAACTAGGAGAGCACTCCCCACCAGCATCCTGAATGGGTGAATATAATATGACTAGAATGATATAATCAAATAATATTATATTAATTAATATAATTACAATGTGTATATTCAAATATTCACAAAATGTTAATATTAGGTTATTTTAATGGTGTGCTGTTGAAAAGTTTTGAAGGGGTGCCTTGAGTCTCAAAAGGTTGTGAATTATTGTTCTTCTTGTAGAAAATGTGTGCGCGCCCCTTTTTCTTTTAGAGAAGTTCCTCATTTATAACACTCAAATGTACACAACTACACATCCCGTGCTACCATGTCCACACTGGAAATATATGTCAGAAAGTCTTGCAATTGCTGAAGGTGATCATTTCATAGATAGCTAAAGTACCTTGTCCTTGATCACACACGCTAGGAGAGCTTATAATTGTGGCAATGTATTTCTCTAAATTCTCTCCCATATTAATTTTATGTGGTACGGAACTGTCTCACTACCATGAACAAAATGAAAATGTCTAAATATGCATGTACATAAAACCACACAAACAACTATAATAAAATACCGCAATTATTATTTTTTTTAATTACTGAAATCATTAAAGAATTTTTCTTTTATTGTTCTTAACAGGAGCTTTCCATTAACCAACACAACTGCATTTCACTTCCTTTACCTAAATTTCAATCTTGGTTTATTAACACCAGAGGCTTGAGTCTTTAAAATGTTGATTAAAAAAATCATGTGGTCTTTAGAATATTTTGGCTATGTGCTAATACTTAACAATATATAAAAAATTGTGACTGTGCCTTGAAAACAAGAGCAAGATACCGTATGTTAAAGGAAAGTAGTTTGTGTTTGTTATGGCTTTTTATCCAGTAATGGAAAGCTAATGGTTTAAAGTTCCAAAATGAAAGCTTTGTTCAAAGGCAGTTTCTTTGTATAATTAATCTTAAGTAATGCTTTTGCTATGTATTTTCATTTACCAAACTGGAAAGAAGACTTTAAAATGTAATCCACTTCTAAAGGAACATGCATAAGGTATGTTATTAAAGAAAAGAAATTTAAAAGCGTCTTTAGCTCCCTGTGATGTGAAGATGCTTGTAATCCAATTTGCACAAACTTTCCAACAGGACCTTTTCATTAGTTTCATCCTTTAGTTGGTTTTTAAAAAACAGATATTCGGTCTTAATTTTTTAAAACTGTACAAGTCAAGGAATTTGCTGATTTTTTTCCCCTTGTGAGCAACAAGAATCTCTTTGGACTAGTACTCTGTCTGGATATGTGTTTAAGTATATAAATAGATGGAAATGTCTGCATAGTATTATATATGCACATCCAAGAGATCCCCCTTCCTGGGATAGTATCTTCAGCATTCACCTTAACTAAGTATATACCGGAATCATTACACTCTGCCTCAGGATTTCAGCTTTTCTTAAAATAGTCAATAAAAATGAATAATAAGAGGGTAACAGATAAATTTGACATCACTGAACCGATTTCTCTTTTTACATAAAATAATGCTTGAAATTCATCCAGCAGAAAATTTTATGGATGTAGTAGACATACCGGCATTTTGAGTAAACTTGGAACTTAAAAAAAAAAGACAATGGAATGATTTAGGGAGTGAGTTTAGGAGAGGCAAATGTGTTTAGTTTGCACCATTTATTTCAAAATATGCATTCCCTTTTTTTAAAAAACCCAGAAATTCCAATGCTGAATACATGCCAATATTCCAGTTCAAACAGGGTGTTTAGCGGTGGCTCAGCACCTGTTTTCTTATCTACCTACTATCTACTAGTCCTGCTTGCTTGTAATCTAGATTTATGTTAAGTCTACCCTTTCCCTTCATTTACAAGGTCCTGGGACATTCAGGTAGCCAATCTGCCCTTAAATATGTCTCTTAGGAAATGGTGCTAATTAGTATTGGAATTTACAGCCTTCCATTTTATTGACTTGTCCTACTTTCTTCGATAATTAACTAATGAGTAAAGTAATGAGCTATGTTAGTCAGTCATGCTGTTCAATTAAACAGCAAATCAATTATTGAAAATAGTTTCGGACAGCTCTTATGTCGCCATGATATGTGTATGTGTGTGTGTGGGTGCATATTTAATATAAATGCAATTATGCACTAGATGTTACAATGTCAGTCTCTGTAAAGTACATCATTTATGAAGTCCTTTCTGGTGGCAGCAAGAAGTGGCTCAGCAGCTTCCCTGAATGCACATAGGTTGTCCACACTGCTCTTTTTCTTAATAATTCTTGAGTGTTTGGCCTTCATGGAGCGCATACCAGATATTCCTACAAAGGAGGCTCAGATACCACCTTAAAAATAAAGGGAATGGAGGTGGGATTGATGTATTCACGTGTCATCACAGCCATTAGACTTGTTCCAGTCGTGTGTGTTCTCTCTCTCTCTAAAAATGGTCCTTGAGCTCATTTGTATGACTACAGATGACCACTAGAGAGCAACAGACAAATATTACCATATTTACTTGCATATCACATATACCTTTCCCTACAAAAATTACCCAACAAAAATTGGGGTTCATGTCTGTGAGGGAGCTGATTTCTGTGCCAGAATAGAAGCATAGAGATGCTGCAACAGCTGCTGGAGGCTATACTGCCCTCTGGTCACATGCAGCAGGGGTGGAGTTTACTTTTCAGTTTCGCTTGCTCCCCTGGCTGCTCAGGGTTTCCTTCTCCCGCAATCACTGCCAAATTGGCAGAAGATTTTGGCTGAGAAGCCATGACTCCAAAACAATAATTTTTATTTTATTTTGCCTTCCCAAAACAAGGTGCATGTCTCATTTGAAAGTATGTGATACGTGAAAAATATGGTAATCTTAAAAGCTCTTTCTGTATCCTGCTCACAGCATATTTCAAGGTCAGCAATGAGCAAAACAAAAAAGTTAAGTGTTTTCCTCCACAAGGTCTTTTAATGCCCTCCCTCATTAGCTTTTTTTGATTTCAACAGTCCTCTTGTATATGGCACTACTGTCATACTGGAGGTCTCCACTATCCTCTTAATTTATATTGATCAAGCCAGGAAGAGGTATGGGGCTCAATGTGAGAGGAGGCACTCCACATGAACTCCTGTGAAGCCCTTGGCAGCTCATGCTCCCCAAAATAGCTATTCTGGACCTGACTTCTCTTCCAGGAACACAGCTGTTTTAGCTCAGAGAGGGTGGAGAGGTGGTTTTGGTGGTGCAAACACAAAGAAATTTCCCTCAGGATCTGAAAGAAATGCATTATTTCAATGGTTCCCAAACTCTGACCGACTGCATATTACCAATTTAAAATGATACAGCCTTAGTACCACCAGCAAATTTTTCATATACATAGGTAACAAACTATGTATTAAAATGGAGGCAGGGGCAGGGGCCCACTCGTGTCCCTGGGGTGTGCACAGTGGCAGGAGCCCACCCGTGCCCCTAGACAAGCCACCCAGGGCTCTGACCATCCCACAACCTGCCTTGGGGCCCCATTCACCCCAGGCCGTGTCCCTACCTCTGTCCCACTCCCTCCCTCACCATAGGGCCTTGATCTGCCTCCCTGTCCCTTCTCTCCCCCGCACCCCTTCCCTACCACATACTTACTTCCTGGGTGCTGCTCCACACACAGCTGGGCTGCATTCCTGGCCACCTGCAGCAGGCTGCAAGTGGGTGTTTGTGTCTGCATGCACCCCTCCTCCCCGGCCTTCCACTGCTTATGCACGTACCACTCACAGGTTGTCTGTGTACCACTGGAGGTGTGCTTGTCACAGTCTGGGAATCGCTACACTATTTTATTAATTCCTTAATATGTAAAGTGAAGCTTTGCTTATGGATTATCGGGGCACTTTCAGCTACAACTTTCAGCCTAGAACATTGTAAATTCAGCTCTACAGCCTTCCTGCCTCTTTGCACCCCTTTGCTTCCTACCATTTATGTTGTCTGATGGTTGCATGTGCATTAATGTATATTTTGAATTTCTCTATTGCAATCCAAGGCCTGAGAAGGAGGTTTTTGGCTTGCTGCTTCTTTTTTCTCTTTTGTTGGTGAGTGCTAAAGGAATTTGCTTTGGATTGAATTGATGCTTTTATAAGGTTCCTTTTCCAAACTCTGTTGAACAGTTACCAGATCAGGGCCAGTCTCTACTTGCTTATTTTTTCCTCTGATAATGAGATTAAAGGTGAGATTTTACTTACCTATCAGAAAAGATTACTTTATTTTAGCTGGGGTAGAATCAGGAGCTTGTGGACCTTTACAAAAGACCTGGGCTGCTTACAGATGAAAGAAAAAGTCCCAGTGCTGTACCATAAACTCTGCCTGACACTGTGCTGAGCCCCACGTATGCCCAGAAGAGACACTATGATAACTGGACCAGGCTTACCCAATGTCTGTATAGCTTGGGTGCTTTAGTGGGGCTTTAGTGGGGATTTTTGGCACTTTTATCTAATAGCTGATTGAATCAGCTATTAGATAAAAGTGCTAAAAAGCCCTGCTGTAGCACCCAATCTATACAGACACTGCAGAGCTGGGTCAAACTAATGTGCTTCTTCTGCATTCCCCCCACACACACCTTTCAGCACCCCTCTTGCCTTGAGTAATATATGAGTGCAGAGAATGAAATGGAAGAACCAATGACAGAAGGCATGTCAGGCAAATTTTTGGGAGTTAAGGCAGAGGGTATCAGACCCAAGGCAGACCAAAGTAACAATGGGAAGATAAAATTAAAAATGCTTTGGAAAAGATACATGAAGATGTGGTAAGGTGGAGGGAGATTGAGCAAGATAGGAGGAAACAGAAAGCTGTAGTTAAGTGGTTATAGGTCTCTGGGGCCTGAGAGACCAGCGAGAGCTTTGTTCGAATTTTTGTACAGAGCTACAGGTAGGGTTGTGCGGAGTGGTGTTGTAGGGAACATTTTCATGGTTTCAGAGAAAAAAAGTTTGAAAGGTGCAAAAGATATGAGATTGAAAATTCAAATTTTATTTAATTTTTTAGGCCAGTGCCTTGAAACTAAAGTAAGGCAAATACATCTGGGATCATAATTATCTTCTGTGCCACAGCTCTAGCTCAATGGACTCCTGGTCCATGGCTGGGACATATGAGTGCTATAGCAGTATGCATAATAGTAATATATAGCAACCTAAATGAAAGTGGCCTAATGGACAGAGAAGCAGGGTGCGCTCAGGGGAAAAAACAAAACAAAACAAAAAAGGCCCCTTATCAAGGTGCATAAATATAGAATTAAGCATATAAATTTAGGCACCAGAGTTTGAAAATATTGGCTTTAACCATTCAATCGAAACAAGATCTGTAAAAGAAACAACAAACCAAAACAAATCAAAGATAGTTTGAAAAAGGCAACATAAAGTTTTCATTTCTAAACAGTTTCAGTTCACTGTTTGTGCTCGTTACTGAGAATATTCAAGGAACACAAACATTCCCATATGAATTAAATTATAATTTACATATGAATTACATTAGAAATATGAGCTATACTAAAGAGATAATTAGTGCTGTCCCGGTTATGTGAAGGCAAACAAAATTAAGTTAGAACATTTTCAAAGCTAAGTTTTGTTTTGCCTTCTCAACTAAGCTGGTTTAATCAGTGATAATACCTGAAATAAATCTCCTAAATATAAAACAATCATACTGTGAGAAATGCCATTAGTAAGTCCTCTGTCTTTATAAATCATATGGTCAAATAGGACTACAATGTGATACTATGCTATACGTGTTTTGCTTCTGCTGAGTGCCAGTGATTGAAGGTGGTAGTTTCTGATATTTATAGGGAACAGATGTACTGTAGATCGGTGTCAAAATGCTGTTCCAGTGATGAGTAACAGGGAGCCTCTGAGGACCTGTGTATTGTGGGCTGTTGGTGTTTTGTTGTTGGTGGTGGTGGTTTTAAACCTTTTAAATGAAGGAAAAGGACAGAACTATCACAGGAAAATGCCAGTGCTTATATAGAGAGAGCACGGAGTGGGGAGAGAGCAAAAGGGAGAGAGAGATTAAAATACCAAACGGAAGCAGTCTACCTGTACGGCAGTGCCTCAGCTCCTAAACAGAGCTCTGGTTTATGAGTGCCTAGCCTAATGAGCTAAACTCTGGTGACCATAAAACTGAAATATAATTATGACATTAAAGATGCCTATATTTGAACTTAATTATTAATTAATTTAATGAGAGAATAGGAGGTTGTAAAATTGCTAATTAAATGGCTCTGTAAAACTGCAGACGGCAGAGGATTTACCAAATGATGAATCCCACAACAGTATTTGGGCTATATCAATATTCTATTAATATACAGTATGCCAGAGGTACTGGCTAGTATGCTACTCACAGTTAAGCCGATGTGACAGGCATACAGAGTGAAAAAAAATGAAGGACATAAAATCCCAAATGACAGCAACCTTGAAGACGTTCTCAGCCCCCACCTCCTTGGCAGTTACTGAAATCAGTTAAATAAACTCAGAAATTCAGGAGAAAAATCAATCTTACCATTGCAAATGTGAATAAATTGGCTTGAAGCGAATGACCCATCTAGGGTCTCATGCATTGTGATGTGTGGATCTGTGTTCGCGTGCAGGAATGGTCAGAGCTACTCTGAACTTCAGTGCAATTGGGAGGGAGGGAGTGTGTATGTGTGTTGCATGTACATGAAAAAGATGCTGAGCCGGAAAAAATAACTGTCCCTTTCTGATTGGTGAAATTAAACTCAAATTAACCTTCAGGGGCTCAGTCTGAACCTATGGGGGACAATTTTAGAGATTCCGACACTGCATTGTGAACATATGAGGAATTTCATTGTAGTGGATGATGGCAGGGCCATTTTTGATGACACTCATTAAAGAAAAGGGGGAAGCAGTGTGAGAAGATGTTTTTCCTTCATTATTTAACCTAATTCATATCCGATTGTCAAAAGATTTTTTGTAGCGATGTTGCACCCAGAATGTAGCTGAATATTATTGACCACAGGGATTTAAAAGAATGGGTATTGCTATATACAGTACTTCTATTTTGCATATGGGAAATATTAAAATAGGAAATGGGAAACAGTGCTATGTGATACATTCTCAGGAAGATAACTCTAAATACAGTACATGAAATGCTTTTAAACAGTTTTGTGAACCCTAAGAACTATTGCTTTTGTTACATCCCTTATGGCATAGCATTTTCTATACGACTTTAATTTTTATTTAAGAACAGCATCCTGATCTAGAAGAAGAGAAGTGATTTGACAAGAAGGCTCAGAAGCAAGATATCAAGAAAATATAGATTACATCTCCTAATTCAGATGAAATAAAACTTATTAAAACAATAACATTTCTGTTCCCCACTTCTGCAGTGTGGATGGATGGTCTTTGTGTTAAAACAGATGTCACAGAATTCAGGAAATCGAAGCTGAAATCCTGGTTCACTGAAGTTAATGGAAGTTTTCCTATTAACTTGAATGGGGCCAGCATTTCAGCACTGAGTTCTCCTTCCAGTTCTGCAGTAGATTTTCTGTGGGACATGGGCAAATTACTTAATTTATCTGTGCTTCTATTTCTGGTTTATATAAAAATGGGATTTATACTTTCCTATCAATTACTATTGATGTTTGAGAACCTTATGTAGAAAGTTCTGTGAAAGTATGAATTACTATTGTAATCTGTTTTCATGGTTGGGTAGAATTTTCAGAAGCACCTAAGTAACTTAGGGAAATAAATGTATTGACAACCTGCTTTATTTATTGGTTCAGGACAATGTTTTCAAAAGTGACTAGGGATTTTTGATTTCTGCCTTCTACAAACGTAATTTGGGGCACATTAAAGGCAGTGTTTTTCATGTGCTGTGTACTCAGCACTAGATGAAAATCAGGTTCTTTTCACATACCTCAAGTGAGGCATTCTAATATTGTGACAGCTTTCCATCACCAGTTACTTGGATCCCAGAGTAGTTGGCTTGTTCTAAGAACCTGAAGAGGACTTGTCACTTGTGCAAACCTTCACCAAAAATTAGAAACGATTTCAATCATTTTCTGTATCAGAGCATGCACAATTAATATATCATTAATATATCAATAGATAATATATATTACTATTACATCATGTCCTGAAGATTAATGGGTTAAAGCCCTCAGACTATGCACCTTACTAAAAATACAAGCAGACAAGTATTCAGAGCTCAGTGAGAGAGAAAGAAAGTCAGGAACTCTGAAGACTTCACATTTGGCCAAAGTTGCCTTGACACAGCCTTTCACATAATGGTCCCCAAAAAAATATAAAAGTTTGAAATGACTAGTGCCTTGTCACCAAAAGTTAGCTTCTTGACGATATAATGATTGCTTTTTTAATAACTGCTGGCTATTAAACGTGGTAGGAAATAAAAAAATGAACACCTTATCTTTCTTTTTAGATTTAATTGACCATGAGGGGATGAGTTCAATCATATCATAGTCTGAAGCTTACCAGCACTTTCATAAGTTCAGCAAGCAACATCTGTTTGCACTCAAGGCAAGAAAATAATTTTTAAAATCTCATTTTTGATCTCACATTAAAGTTGTCAGAAAAGTTGTCAGTCTAATCTGAATATAATCTGTGTACTTAAGTGGATAAGGAAATTCCCTAGAAACTATGGGTGAAAGTTAAACCATCTCCCAGAATTAAATTATGTAGAATGGACATCCATTAGGAATCTTTATATCTTGATTTTCACAATTACATTCTGATCTCAAATAAAGGGATGGAATAATAATTAACTGCTCTTATTTGTATGATACTATTGAGTTGGGTCCCCATTATGCTAAGTATATACAAACATGTAAGGTAGATTGATTTTAAATCAGAGTTTTTACATTACTGATTTTAATTAGCAAGCATTGTTTAAAAACACATCTTATTAATCTAGCTTTGACTTTGTACATATTCATTTTTATTACAGACAGTTTAAATTTTTAGTTGGTATCCAGTAAATTGTTTTGTTGAAGATAGCCTCACTAGAAAGTTAGTTATTACTTTTGCTACCCAGGCAAAAGTATATATTTGCTTCTAAAATTATATGGCTCAATACAAACATTTTTAGTTTCCTTTTTTTTCCTTTTTTTTTACATTTTTATGTTAGAAACTGATGAATGCTGCATTTCTCTTTTACTTTGATTATTAATTTTTCCTATGAAATGTATAAAGTTTTAATTGATCTGAAATAAATTCAATTAAAAATATGTTCTTCAAGATTTTAGAACTAATACATTTTTCCTTCCATGTTGAGTCAGACCATGCCAATTTGTTGAATGGTGGAGGAAGAGAAAAGTTTGTAGAACTTAAGTATATGTTTTGGCTTCTTTGATAGAAAGAAAAGGTAGTAGGATCAGTGAAGCATAAGGCACTATTGGCGAAAGTTCAATCTTGCTAAGCTTACAGGTATAGAACTTTGTGAAGATAAGGCATCAACAATATATTTATTATGATGAAACCATAGACTTTTGATCAGTGTTTTATGTTTCCTTTTTTTCAGGTGGGGGAGCAGGAGGGGGAGGGAGAGTTTTGGAGACTTGCAACAGCAATGACCCCAAATGAGGCAGAGTATAAATTCTATGGCCATGTCCAGATGAGCAGGGGTGTGCAGTTTGTGGCACCATAAACCTCTTTGTGGTGCCACCAACCAGACATGGGGAATATTAAAACCTGCCCCGCACTGTACATTTGCAGTACAGGGCTAAAATTTGCTACCAGGAAATCCCAGTAGCAAAAAAAAAACCCCCCAAAAAAAAACACGCCAGGAAAAAATGTGGCGTGGTGCATGTGGCAGAAGCATGTGCCGCCAGCCAGAGTGTCTCTGCTCTTTCAGTTGTGCCCCAGCTCCTCCAGCATGCCAGGAGCCAGGAGGAGCCAGGCACAGGAACTTCTCCCTAAGCAGGGCAATTTGTCCCTCCACAAAGCACATGTACAGAAGCATGTGCTGTGGCAAAAAAGTAGCCGCACAAACTTGTGCCAATACTACTTTTGCTGCTGCAAGTGCATGTCCCTGCACATCTGGACGTGGCCTATGTGTTCATCTGGTGGATTTTCTTTTTCTCTTTTTTCCCCCCATAAAGATAACATGGACATCTTATGGAAGCTATTACATTTATCAGAGAATCAAGAAGTGATTTTCCTTGCTCATGGACAATCAACATTATGACAAATTCCACAGTTAACCATAACGTTGATCCACAAGATGCAAAAGAAATGAAACTACTGTTCTGCAAAGTAGCTATACTAGCTTTTCCAACACTAATAGAAATGTGTGTGTGTATGCACACACATACTCATACTCCCTCTCTCTCTCTATCTCTCTCTCTCTCTCACACACACACACACACACACACACACACACACACACACA